TACAAGCATTAACTGGGAATCGAATGGTGAGCAGGAATGGGAACACTGAACATCGTTGAATGAGGTGTCGTGCTCGAAATGAGTGAGACAATTTTGCCTCACTCAATCAGAGCGATGAATATAAGGCTCAGCCTTGAGTCATATGCACCGAATTCTCACTCTGAAGGAGTAAGATTTTCCTGAGCTCTGACCTCGCCCTATTGCAGCAGTGGGGATCGCAAATTATGACTCAACTTGAGTGAGAGTCAGATACCTCGCTCTCCGTTGAGCGATATTTTTTGTAGCATTTTCAGTGAAGGCTGTACATCACACATTTTGTAGATAGTATATCGCACATGTCCAAACATATTTCTCTCAGTCTATTCTATTGTAGTCAGAAACGACGACGTATTATTAAGAAAAGTTCAATTCCTTGAATGGCCTGAAGATGTCTCAAAATCGAGATAAATAACACAGTTTTGTTGACTATAGTTACACACGGAAAAATCGCGTACGCGTTCCTTTTCGTTCCGATTGTATCTCTGTCAACTGAAAGAGCATCCGCCATCACGGGCCACAGATTGCGCCGCGCAGTGCGCGCACCCACACTTTGATTGTGATGTGATTGTGTCGAACTCGCATCGGTAATCCCGCGCGTCAGGTGTGGCGTGGCGACCGTGATTGCGGCTGCGATGCTCATACAGAGTTGGCTGGCGGCATTCATGACCACTCACTCTATCTCTGAGATCCATATCATCCATTCAATCCGTTTCCCATTTGAATGTAAAGGAATGCGTTTTCGTTCCTTGAACTGTAACATTTCTGTGCACGAAAACGTTCCCTATCCAGAAACAAAGTTCTCCGAGCGCTCAGCGCGCCTTGTAGGTAGGCAACATCCCCCGTGCTGTGCACACGTGTCCTGCGGGGTGGCCTACCCTGAGCCTCGCAGGCGCCAAGCTCTCTTAAGTTGCCCAAGGAAATCTGTGGAAAAACAGACGCACTGTTTAGCCGACCTCTATCCTGGGCGCGGCGAGACTGCGCGATTGCGCGCTTACGTGTCTAGAGGCTGTTGTGCTAATCCCTCTCTGTGTGTTTAACCTCACACCCGAGCGTTCGCCGCTCCGGAAATCTATGGTGGTGCGGCAATTTGCAGGTCGATTGTGCGGTGGCCGTGAACT